TTTGGGCTGCATACAAGGAAAGCAGCCGAAGTCTTTCTTTCTCTCCCCCAAACTCCACCCGAAATGAGCCTTTGGGACCCTGCAAGGCCTCCTGCTCCAAGAGGCTGCGTCGGCAAAGACTCGTTTCTGGCAGAGTTTGGGGGAGAGAAAGAAAGACTTCTGCTGCTTCTGCTGCTTTCCTTGCATGAAGCCAAAAGTCTCTCTTTCTCTCTCCCCCTGAGAACAGAGCTGATGGTATCCTGCAATCCCAAATAAAGAACGATTGACCGGTAGGAAAACGGGGTGGGGGAATTTGTCCCACACGCCTGGCCTGGCCACCGGGCTGCTTCTTTCTGCTTCTGCTTTTGGCTGCATGCAAGGAAAACAGCAGAAGTCTTTCTTTCTCTCCCCCAAACTCCGCCCGAAATGAGTCTTTGGGCCCCTGCAAGGCCTCCTGCTCCAAGAGGCTGCGCCGGCATGACAAGTCTCACAAAGACTCATTTCTGGCGGAGCTTGGGAGAGAGAAAGAAAGACTTCTGCTGTTTTCCTTGCAAAAAGCCAAAAGTGTCTCTCTCCCCCCTGAGAACAGAGCTGGGGACGGTATCCTGCGATCCCAAATAAAGAACGATCGATCGGTGGGAAAACGGGGTGGAGAATTTTCCTGCAGACATTTTGGGGGATTTTCCTAGGGTCTCTGGTCCGCTGGATTTAAAATTATGAGTTTGGTGGTCCCTGAGGTCCAAAAGGTTGGCGACCCCTGGGACTAGAAGACCTCTAAGGTCCCTTCCATGCCTGGATTTCTGTGATTCTATAATCTCCCACCTCAAAAATCTCCCTGAGTAACACAAAACACATGGCCGGTTCCTCATCCAGGTAATCCTCCACTTACAACAGTGTGTTTAGTGACCATTCGAAGTTACAACCTCACTGAAGAAAAGTGTTTCACACTTATGACTGTTGCAGCATCTCCATGGCCATGTGATCAGAATTTGGGCACTTGGCAACTGACTCATATTTATGACCGTTGCAGTATCCTGGGGTCATGTGATTTCCCTTTTTGGTCACCTTTTGACCAGCCAATGGGGAAGCCAGATTCATGTAACCACCACGTTACTCTCCAAACAGCTGCAGTGATTCAGTTAACTGTGGCCAAGAAAGGCCATAAAACAGGGCAAAACTCACTTAATAAATGCCTCGCTTTGCAGCAGAAACGTTGGGCTCCATTGTGGCCGTAAGTCGAGGACTAGCTGTAAATCCTTCCCTTTCCCCAACGGGTTAGTTAGAACCGAAGCGAGCCCTAAAATGAGAGAGAGTTCACTTAACAACTGTCTCATTTAGCAAAAGAAATGCTGGGTTCAGTTGTGGTTGTAAGCCGAACTCGACTTGCAACAGTTCTCTTAGTGACCATTCAAAGTTATTAACAGCACTGGAAAAAAAAGGGGACTTTCGACTATTTCTCACACACTTACGGCTGTTGTCGCATCCCCATGATCACGTGGCGGCTGACTCGTATTTATGACGGTTTCACTTAACCGTCGCACGTAGCAACACAAATTTTGACCTCAAACGTGGCCGTAAGCCGAGCCCTACCTGTATTTACTGTGTTTTTTTCTCTGTTTACTCTCGTTCCAGCTTACTATATCCAACAAACATAGGTACGCTCTACATATCCTTCCAGAACCTCAGGAAGAACAACTACACAACTATTGGCACCAATATTTAGGGAGGGAGGCGGCTCTTGCGATTCCTGGCAACCAGGACGGTTTTTCCACAACGATTAAGGAGGGAGGACACAACATAGTTCAGGAAATGCAGGAAAAATGAACCTTTGGGAGGAAATTGAGAGCAAGAGGCAGCTGTGATGTCCTCGTTGCAAGGATAAGGAACACCCCAGTGTCGTTACGGTTGTATTCCTCGACCTACAACAGTTCATTTAGTGACCGAAGTTACAACAGCCCTGGAAAAAAGGGGACTTACAACCGTTTTTCACACATGACTGTTGCAGCGTCCCCGTGGTCAAAATTTGGATGCTTGGCAATATTTTAAGATGTAGTGTCCAGGGGTCCCCCTTTTGCGACCTTCTGGCAAGCAAAGTCGATGGGGAAGGCTGACTCACTTAACAACCGGGTGACTAGCTGAACCCCCTGCAGTGATTCACTTAACAGCTGTGGCCAGAAAAGTCGTAAAATGGGGCAAAACTCATTTCACCAATATTTTGCTTAGCCACAGAAAGTTTGGGCTGCGTCTGTAACATTTTTTACTTACAACAAGAGGCGCAATCCTGCTTTGGAAAAGCCTCAACAAGTTTCAAATACAAGAAATAGTTTCCAAACTGTTCTGCTTAACTGATTTAAACCCACAGGATTGCTTAGTAATCACCAGCTGTCTCTTGAAGATTGCCAACTGAGGGATGGAGTAATGATGCCCTGAGTAACGATGCCCTGAATACATTCAACCAGTAGTAAGGAGAAAGGGGCTCCTGAGTTTTGTTGGGTTTTGTTTGCAGATGTTTCATTACCCAACTAGGTAACATCATCAGTGTTAGAAGAGAATGGGGCTTGTGGAGGAGAGGAGGAGG